CTAAAATTAGTTTTAATGTTTCTAAAAGAATTTGAATATTTTTTATTAATTCACAAAAGAAACTTCTTCAAAGAAACAAGGTAGGTATTTAAGACTTCTTTAAAACTGTAGAAAAACTAATTTAATTTATATTTCAACTAAATTCCAACTCCCATACTACGAACTTTAATTTAAGAATTAAAAATAGAACATTAGTTTTTTGAGAATACCATAATGTTAATGCATTATAATCTTATTCCATTGATGTTACTGACAAAAACTAACTATAGAATGACGTTAATTCCATTTTACGTCATTCTATTAGTTATTATATAGTTATAATAAGACAATTGTACAGTTAAAAATAAAAAATAGAGCATTAGTTTTATGAGAATACCATAATGTTAATGCATTATAATCTTATTCCATTGCTGTAACTGACAAAAAATAACTATAGAATAACGTTAATTACATTTTACCTCATTCTATTTGTTATTATATAGTTATAATAAGTCAATTGTATAGTTAAAAATAAAAAATGAAACTTTAGTTTTATGAAAATACCATAATTTTAATGCAATATAATCTTATTCCATTGATGTAACTGACAAAAACTAACTATAGAATGACGTTAATTACATTTTACGTCATTCTATTAGTTATTATATAGTTATAATAAGGCAATTGTACAGTTAAAAATAAAAAATGAAACTTTAGTTTTATGAAAATACCATAATTTTAATGCATTATAATCTTATTCCATTGATGTTATTGACAAAAAATAACTATAGAATGACGTTAATTACATTTTACGTCATTCTATTAGTTATCAATAGTTAATAGCAGTTAGTTATCAATAGTAGTTAACAATAGAAAGACGTTCATTAAATTTTTAATTTGGAATTTTCTGTGAAATCTGCATTGATAATTATTCAAGTTTGAGAAGTTGAAAAATAAAAAGCTTGATCACGAAAACTAGTTAAATATTTAAGTCTGTAAAGTTTAAAATTATAAAAAAATTATTTCATAAATATTAAATGACTTTCTAAATGTTTTTTTCCAAATCAAAACAGGAATAAAAAAAAATTTTCCCCCATTTTATATCACTCAGTTATTCTATTCCCACATCACTTCAGCTTCCTACTCTAATTATCTGGAATTGGAGTTATTGAATTTACCTCCCATCCAATGATATTTTGAGATCGATACCAATGATGTGCTGGGGGTATTCAATTCGATCCCAGAATTTTTCTCAAGACATAAAAGAACGATCAACGGCAAACTTTTCGTTCATCTTCTGGACGACTCACTTCGTCATCTGACAAATTAGAGAACAGCGTCAATTTTTAAAAAAATAGTAAATTATTAAAGTCATAGTTTACACCATTCACAGCCACCAAGTATGACAGGTATAACAAGTCTTATCATCTCCCTCAGCCGCCAGCTATGCATCATTTATTTTTCAGTCATCGATTTCGCCTAACGAAGCTTGCAGTCGAGATTCTTTCCAAAGTGGTGTAAGTCACATTCTCAAAAGAACAAAAAAGTGATTTGCGAATTTATCTTTTCACGTCCGGGACAATACAAATCAAGCCTTTTTGTATTTATTATTTAAAAAAAAAAATGCAATTGATTATCGTTCGAAGATAAGCTCCAGCTCCCTATTTTGATGCTGTCTTTAAATCTTTTTTCTTTTTCTTTCTCGAAATTAAAACATTCTAAAATTAATTTAGAATCCATGCATTTTAACTCTACTTTTATTCTTTAAGGATTTTCTGTTTGCAACAAATTAATTTGTTTTTCAAATATGCATATATCTACATGTATATGTATATATGTATACCGAAGAGCCATTACATTATGACCACCCTCCATCTATAGCAAAAGGCTCGCCCAGGTTTTCATGGTTTCTTGCCCAGGAACAATGTTTTCATGGGGCACATTAGGACCCATAATCCTCATAGAACAATCGCTGACGTCTGTAAGCTACTCGAACATAGTTGCAGACCAGGTTCACCCATTCATGGCAACAGTTTTTTCCAGCGGGGGATGGTGTTTACCAGCAAGATAATGCACCACGTCATAAGGGTTGAATCGTCATGGATTGGTTCGAGGAATATTCCAGTGCCTTTCAAGTCATATCTTGGTCCCTAAAATTCACCTGACCTTAATCCAATAGAGCATTTGTGGTCCTACTTGGAAAACCAAATTCGTACTACCACGTTACCCCCTCTCAATGTGAGGGAATTGCAGGACCAGTTGGTGAGCGCTTGGTATCAGCGCTTGGTACTCAGACTACCTATCAGCTAGCAGTTTTGAGGGTTAAAGGTGGTCCTACATGTTATTAGCAGGGTGGTCATAATGTAATGGCTTTTCGGTGTATATATATATTGAAAGAGGCATTTCTTGCCCTTGAGGTGGCAGCAAGGTATATATATAGAACATTA